TTTATAATAGAAAAAGGAGTATTATTGAGAAGGAAAAGAACAATACAAAGAAAACAGGGGAGAAGTTATCCAGCAGAAGCATAAGAAAAATGTATAGAATAGAAAGTAAAATTTAGATAACACAGAAAAGGTAACAGATCATGTCCCAGCTCCTATAAAAATATAAATTAGTAAAATTAAAATCTAATATTAAAATTATAATAAAATTAAAAAGAAAGATTGATGTGATCAATTGTGTTGGAGTGATCAATCTCTAAAGTCATGATCTTCCTATAGTAAGGAATATGCATGGGCCACTCAATTCAAAAATAACATTTAATTAGTGTGAAATTCTGAAAAAATGATTAGAGAAAAGACAAGAGAGGGATATTTTAAAGAAAATATAGTTTGTTTTTTGGGGGAACAAATTTATTTCACCATTTTGTAGAACAAAATTATTCTCTTGGTTCATACTTTTTACATTGTAGAGTCCTTATCTTTTTTCTACCAAAGATAGTAGCACTCTTTTGTTCAGTCCAATCCACAAATTTTATGGACCAAATGCTACCAAAACTTACTATTTTAAGGATTTCTCTCTTCACATCCTTTGGCTATATCTTAATTTTTTTCTTCTATGACCACATACTTAAGTTCTTCATTTCTAAATAATCAGTTTTCAGTTTCAACAATAAAACACATTTTTCGATTTTCTTGTTAAGAAAGCATAAATTAAAAATGCAAGAAGCTATTTTCTACAACTGGATCACACTTAAAATTTAAATGAATCACTTTGTCATTTCCACAGCAAACAGTGCATTGAATCTAGAGTTGTGAAAAGAAACAAAAACACACTGAAAACAAGAAAGAAAAAGAAAAAAGAAAAGGATTGATCAAGACTACTACGCACATACAGAACAGTTGAAAACAGGAAGCCAATAGGATTAAGGGAAATTACTCACTTTTCATTTGAAGGTTCGTTGCGGAGAACTTCTGGTGCCATCCACTCAGGCTAACATATTAAAGATAATGCAATCAGAGGCAAACTTATGATGCATCATTAAAGAAAGCTCCAAAAACACATTGCTGTTTCACCATTATCCCAGAGACAAGTGAAACAAGAGAATAATAGAATCGTAATGTCAAACTTACTGTTCCAGCAGTTGATTTGGATGACAAAAATGTGTTATGCTTCAAGCGTGATAACCCAAAATCACAAACCTGTATCATTTAGCAACGCATTAAAAGATATCTAAAAAAAGTATGAATGCATAACGATGTAATAGATCATGATTAAAGGCAACTGTCAAAACCAAGAGAAGAAAACACGAAGGAATAAAGCTTGAGACCCCCTTTCTCTTCCTCCCATATGATTTTTCATGTTAAAATTTGAGTAGACTCCAATATCAATATTTTACAAGTTTCCTTTTCCTATAATTTATTGGACAATTAGCAGGTTTTGAGATTTAAGTTGGAATTGACATTCAAGTACTAGTTACATGATCTAAGCAACACCCGATTCCAACAAGGGACTTTGGAGGACCATTCCTTTTTTGGTTAACCCATTGTGGACTTGGGAGCCTATTATGGACTTGTTGAAAAAAAATTGGCGGGTGGAAAAGAAATTTCCTATCTAAATAATATACTAACTTGCCATTTTAACCATTCCGGCCAGTATAGCGACTAAACTTGAAAATATCAAATGTAGGTTCCTTTGGGGGGATGAGGATGGAGACAAATATCATTTGGTTAGGTGG